CCGATTTGGCACACAACACCTCCTGATGGATAATGCAATGAAAAGGTACAAGTGGATGTCTAATAGCTTCCATAAACAATTTCAGGAATCCCACATTTTTTCCCACCATATTTGGTGCCCCATCTGTCGTGACTGACACAATTTTAGAGATATCAATGTTTAGGTCACTGAATATTTTTGTAACAACCTTACATATTTCGTTTCCTGATGTACTTATTGGCACTTATTCTAACTTTATTAAATCTTCTCTCATTGTGAGACCATCAGAATATCTAGCAATAATGACCAACCGAGCATTTGATGTGACATCAGTAGTTTCAGCAAGAGAAATCAAAAAATATTTACAACTATTTAAGTCTTTTTTTAATTGATGTTGTACGTTTTTGTTAAGATCTATTATTCTGTCTTTGATAGTATTTCTACTGAGTGGTAACTCAGAAATTCTTTTAATAATATCATCTTTATTTTTCATATCGTGAAATAGAGCTGGTGCACATCTTAGAAATGTTTCCTTAATAAATTCTCTGTCACTGAGGGCTTTTCCATGCTGAGCTATGGAGTGAGCAATACAGTAACTTGCTGATGTTAAATTTGTAGAGCATCTTACAAATTTAATGATGGAATTTGATTGACTTTTATAGAGGTGTAGCTGCCTAGAAATGTATTCCTTCCTTTCATCGATACTTTTTTTCAAGAGCTGACAATGATTAGTTTCAAAATGTCTCTTTACATTCCACGTTCTGCTTACTACCATTTCATTACACAGTATGCACAATGATCTGTTGTTTCTGTAGACAATCCCGTACATCTCGGTCCATATGTCTTGAAAGAGTCGGCTACTGCTACTTCCACTTCCTTTATCACTCAATCTTGCTTCTTTATTTATTTTTTTTTTTGATTTTCCATCACAACGCTGCAAAAATAAATAAATTTTTTATAAAAGGTTGATAGGTTTCTTACCTATTAACTTTTTGCAGTGTTGTTGCACTGACTCCTGGTGCAAAACAATTCAAAGATAGCATGTATAACCAACAAATGCATGGTGCTGTAATCAATTATCCGACACGCAGAATGTCTCATTGAGCACTGTTGCACTGTATATCTTTTTCTTCTAACTCTCCCACTCCTGTCTCCTAACAAACATGTGATCAAGTGCGTCTGTTTGCCGAATGCACCTGAACACATGGGAAGCTTACCCAAGGCACATATTGACAAAAATGAGGCCATTTCCAGAATTGGGCATTTTGTCACTCGAGTAAAAATAAAATGTCATGAGTAAAGATTAATCTCTTTATAGTGCAATTCTTAACCTTTTTATATTAATATCAATATTGGAACAATGTATCTTGGATGTTTTCACTATGT